ACAATCTACCGCCTTCGAGTCCCACGTTTTCATTTGCACATTGCCCAATGTCTTGACTCTAATGCCATTTGTAACAATTCTATTAGATGAACACGACTTTTCACAATGGTATAATATCGTCCACTTTGAGCATAAGCTCTCGTGGCTTTGCTTTGTGCTTCCCCAAACGGCCTCATACCAATGGAGAGAGTATTTTTTTATTATAAATTCATGAACATTCTCTAAATCAGCGGAGGTGGGATTTTCATCCAATAAGTTCTAGTCTACCACTAGCAAGTATTGTCCTCTTCAAACTTTCTCTCAAGGTTTTTAAAACTCATCTGCCAAGGAGAGGTTTCACATCATGTTTCGTTTTCCTCCCCAATCGATGTGAGATCTCACAATCCACTCTCTTCGTGGCTCAGCGTTCTCGCTGTCACTTGTCCACCTCTCCAATTGATTGATGGGCGATCTGACAGATCACCTCTATAAATTACCGTACAAATTTATGTTTTTGGATTGTGGACCGTCCTTACATTATTGGTCCCTTGTCATTGAATTACACAGACTGCGTTCACAACGAAAAAGGACTATGGGAAAGAAGAGAGAGAAGCACAGTGGGCAGCAGCACAGAGGACCCTACATGGCTTACAACCACCTGAGAACTCCAATCTCTTCCCAGAGAAAAGTAGTTACAGGGAGCTTTCAGAGATTGCAGAGCAAGCCAAGCGCCGTGCTGAGGTTGCCAGGTGACCTTCTCGCCCATTCTCCTTCTCTTTCTAACTAATAATTAATCAGCATTCGAAAAATGGTCCTAAAATAAACACCGTTTATGGCTCCGGGCAGGCTCCGAGAATTGCACACACTAAAGGGGCATGTGGAATCAGTAGTGAAGCTGAAAGGACTTGACATTGACACAATCCAACAACACTATACAGTTTAAAGAGCCGCAAAAATCCACATCTGCTGCTACGGGTAAGTTAGATATAAGCTTTCCATTACAAGTTGTTGGGGAAAAAACCCTTTTCGTTTTTATGCTCAAAAGTTTGTAGTCTCAAACTTGAGAGAGTTTGTTATTTCTTATTAAGCAACTGCAACGAGAAATGGCATATCCTGGTGGTTTGGTTGGTTTATGAATTACCATAATCAAACAAATTTCATGTATTATTAATTCTGCTTTTCTTTTTCTTTCTCTTTTTCTATTTCCTTCCTATCTATGTTGTTCTGTCCATTCATGTTGTTTAGAGGTTTCTTTTTAGATTTAAACCAAGTTTTTAAATCCATCCATTTGCCCTCTCTTGATTTCATTTTAATTGCAACTAAAACATACCCATTTACCCAATAGGACCAGGACCAAGAACTATCCCCAACAGATTGTGAAATCTCCATTTAAACGTGAAATAGCTAGGGAGGGAGTGGGGAGAGATTTTCATCCTTCTTTGTTTCTAACCCACCAAATTTCCACCCCGTTCATATTACATGTCTAAAATACTATGTTATAATAAACTTAATCATTCCGACATTAAGTTGGTTAAAAAATGTGTTATAGTAATTTGAATTCAAAAGGAAGCGTTATGTAGCCTTCTGGTAAGCTTAGGGTTCGTAAAGTGTCTTCTCCACACTATAGACGAGCTAGTAGAAATAATGGAATTTGTGTGCTCTACGACACTCGTCTTTTTCTAAGAATTTCAAAATTTAAAGATAAAAATGAAACTTTTTAAAATTTATTGACCTAATTCAAACTTATCAAAAGTTATATTCTCGTGTAAATATATTTGACAGTCAACATATTCATCTTAAAAATAAATAAATTATATTAGATCTCAATTTTAGCTAAATAAAAGGTAATTAATACACTTCTTTTTAATATCATATTTTTTGTCTGGAGATTTTGAGATTAAAATTTTTAATTGAAAAATAAGTATATTGCTTTTATTAAATATATCAGGGCAAAGTCATTTACTATATATATACACATTATTTAAATAAAATAATGTGAAAATTATAACATCTAATTTAAACAATTATTGAGTTACAGTTAAACTGACCCAAAATAAACATACTCGTTTTTTCAAATAAAATAGCAGTAAATTATTTAAATATTGAATAAATTAATAAACTATCTATAAAAATTCATCACAAAATTCTAAAAAAATTTGCAAATAACACATTTTTACCCAAAAAAAACCACAAAAATGAATCGAAAAACTTTTTAGTTTAACATTAAAAAAAAGAAAAAAAAAAAAGAAAAAAGGAAGTTTTGGAGAGAGCTGCAAAGGAGGAAGAACGCGAAGAGATTGCAGATATAGATAGCTACGCAGAAGCAAACACTTGGAATAACAATCAACAAAAACCCAACGAAGAAATCGCTAAAATAAATTCTAAATTATAAGAGAGAGAAAAAAAAAGAAGAGAGAGAAAGAGAAACGGGAGTTGAAGGGGGAAGCAAACGATAGTTCGATGTTCCGAAGATTCGGACCGACCCATTCGGCTTCAATTTCTCTTCAATTCCTCAAGTTCTTCAAAGGTCAGAGCTCAAGAAATCCCTATGCCGGTTATTGTTCAAATGCTTTTGAGCTTAGTCCGCGAGATTCAATGTGCTTCATATCTCTGCAATTTCTGCTCTGTTCACTCTACTTAACTTCGCGCGAATCACTGATCTCTTTCTTCCACTTCCAAATTTTGTGTTTCGAACTTCCGCGCTTGTGAATTCTGCTGAAATAATGATCGGTTTGTATTGGTTCGTCGAGCCAATACGTGTTTTCGTTAGTTGTTGAAAGTTTTTTCGTGTGTTCTGAACTTGGATTTCTTTGTTCGAAGTTAGGGTTTCGATTTGCGATTGATTTTGCTATAGATTTTGAAATTTTGGCGGGATTTAGTGAGCCATGTAGTGGATTTAACTTCTAGGGTTGTGGTTTTGAGAAGCTGCGATTTGTAGTTAGGTAAAGGAAAGATCAATTGGAAATATGATTGCTGCAATTCTGTTGATATCCATTTCTGGATTTCCTTGATCTGGTTCGATGAATTTAAGGAACTTGCTAGAATGATACTGATCTTGAACATTAATATGCCTTGATTGATGATATATGTGGGAGTGAGAGCTTTGTATGTTCTTGTGTTCTTCCTTTTTTTGGTGAATTTGAATAGTGATTTTGTAAAGGGTGTGTGATTCTGTCTGCTGAGAAATGCGACCTCAGCAGAGCTTGAGAATTGACTTGGGTGAATTGAAATCTCAGATAGTGAAGATGCTCGGAACCGATCGATCGAAACGTTACTTCTTTTACTTGAATAGGTTCTTGAGTCAAAAGCTGAGTAAGAATGAGTTTGATAAGCTATGTTGTCGTGTTCTTGGGAGGGAAAATCTTTGGCTGCATAATCAATTGATACACTCAATTTTGAAGAATGCTTGTCAAGCTAAGGCTGCACCACCAATACCTACTTCAGCTCAAAGTATTCCCATTTGGTCTAATGGAGGTTTTCCATTGTCTCCAAGAAAGAGCCGGTCCGGGATTCGTGACCGTAAACTCAAGGACAGACCGAACGGGATGGTTGAATGCATCTCGCATCAATCAGCAGGCAAGGACGATGGAAGCTGTAAAATCACGATGGATAATGATGTTGCAACTCTGTGTGACTATCAGAGACCAGTGCAGCATTTGCAGGGAGTTGCAGAATTGGAAAACGATATCGAGGCTAGTGTTCAGCAACCAGCTGGAAATCACGTCTTCCCGGGACAGTCGAATCACTTGAGTTTACTTCGGAGTCGATTACTTGCACCTCTTGGGATTCCTTTTTGCTCAGCTAGTATAGGCGGGGCTCGCAAAGCGAGACCTGTGGATTGTGGGGGCGATTTTAGCATTAGTGATATTGGTCGTTTGTTGGATACCGAGTCGCTGGGACGACGTATGGAACAAATAGCTGCAGGACAGGGCTTAGGCAGTGTTTCTGGAGATTGTGCTAGTATTTTGAATAAGGTATTGGATGTATATTTGAAGCAGTTAATTCGTTCTTGTGTTGACTTGGTTGGATCATCATGGCCTGCATATGAGCCTGAGAAACCTCTTGCCTATAAGCAGCAGATTCAGGGGAGGGTTATCAATGGCCTGTTGCCTAATAATCAATTACATGGACGACATAGCAATGTCAATGGCGAAGCTACGTACAAGCACAGATTACAATGCTCGATATCGTTGCTCGACTTCAAACTAGCAATGGAGCTTAACCCGAAACAACTTGGGGAAGACTGGCCTTTGCTAATGGAGAAAATTTGTCTGCGTGCATCCGAAGAAAGAAACGACTCTAATCGATCTATTTATCCCATTCCACAGTTTGATTGTCCCATCACGGTTCAAAGGGATCGAAAAACGATCTCAACAACCTCTCAGCTATGCCCATCTATGTGAGTAAAAGTGCTGGCTTTAGAAGATGATGAGCATGTCGAACGTCAAAATCCACGCTCGTTCTTGGCAATCATTTAACTGTGACTAAGCTTCGACACTGGCAGTCAGAATGCCACCAGTGATTGATCTACGTTTCTCATCCGAACTGGCGTTAGCCGTGATTCGAAGATCTCGAGCTTTGTATGTATATTTAGATCACTGAGGAAATATACACAATTTTGCAGAGAGATGCAGTTTCTGTAGCTTCTTGGTGAGAGGTAATTACTGGGGTAAGTAAGATCTTAGTGTTCTTATTTGAATTCTTATGAACAACTCATCAACAGACAACAATCTGCAGATACCATCTTCTGTATTTCATGCTTACATTTTTCTTTGTTTTTTGTTAGATATAAAGATCCATATGCTATCAAACATATAGCATTTCTATTTAGAAAGATTTGTGTTCATAAAGTTCAACATTTATAATGCAATAGTCGGCCTCAATTAGATTCTGGTTTTAAAACGCAAACGCTTTTGTTGGAGAGAAATTTCTACACCCTTATAAGGAATGATTCGTACCCCATTTCGACTGACGTGGGTTCTCACAGTTTAGATAAGAGTATTGAAAATTTATGACGGGAGTACAAGAACGGGAGATTTCATTCACTGAGTTCGGACTTGAAAGCCAAAGGGTGGCCTGTGCTTATTAAGTAGGTTTAAATATAACAGATTTTCTATGTACAATAAATCTTGGGTGAGGGGAGAAGATTAAACATCCTCCTCCTCTTCTCTTTTCTTTTTTTTTTTTTTTTTTTTTTTTTTTTTTTTTGGTTTAATTCTTTATTTTAGGGACAATCAAACGAACTATGAAGGCAAAGGCGAAGCAGGTTCCTCCACAGATGCTTTGCAAATGGGGCACCAGTTCTTCAGCCGCAGCCACTGTTGTATGCACCCTTCATGGTAAGTATGCTCGCACCGCAGCGTCCCGACTTCATCTCCATTCGAGTACTCTTCCTGCAAACAAACCAAACCAAACCGATTTCAGCTGCAAACATGTCGATGATCAAGAAACTCAGCTACTAACAGTCCAAGTCCACCGCTAGTAGATATCGGGGACGCAATTTGGTATCTCACAATCTACCTCCCTTCGAGGCCGAGCGTCCTCACTTGCACTCGTTTTCCTCTCCAATCAATGTAGGATCTCACAATCCACCTCCGTTCGAGGCCTAGCATCCTCACTGACATTCGTTTTCCTCTCCAATCAATGTGAGATCTCACAATCTACCCCCTTTAGGGCCCTAGCGTTTTCACTAGCGCTCATTCCTCCCTCCAATCAATATGGGATCTCACAGTATTCCTCGACTATATAAACAGCTAATGTAAACAGACCTGGCAGATACAACATTTGATACCATCCTCATACTCGCTTCCACCTGCAGATGAATCCTCTACATGTCCAGACCGATACGTGCTTCTATTCAAGCATTGCGACAATGCTTCCTCAGTAACCGCTGTACTCACAGTTCCCATTCTCTCCTCGAGAGCGAGTAATTCCTATCAACCACCACAAGAGAGTCGAAAAATATAAATACATGAACAACCCGACACAATGAAACAGTCCATACATCACGAAGGTCGAATATATGAGATAGATTCAGATCAAGATTAGATGTTCTCACCTCATACGACATGTTATCGATATCGAGCCTCATATCTCTATGTTGATCATAGAAGTTCAAGCCACTGAGGAAAAGATTGGTCTCTAAAAGAATTACTTGCTGCAAAGAAGATTAAATGTTAGAACAAATTGTAGTGAATGAATGAACTAATGATACTAAAACATCAAGAACTGTCTACCTCATATGTTAGCTCTTCTTCATGTTCAATCCTTTCCAGAGCCAACAATACCTTGAAAAACACGATCCAAGATTTTAATATCAGAAATTGAACGTCACAAAACGAATGAATCGATAATGTGGATCGTACCTCTGCAATACCGTAGTGTCGAAAGCTATCCCGAGTTGTTAAAGAACGAGCCAATCCGAGTTCTGCAGGACTAGCAGGTCTATGATTAAGCATATTCTCATTGATACTATCAGATCTTCTGTAAGAAATTGGGAGATCCGAAATCAACTCGGTAGAGACATCATGAGCGTTATTATCTATCGAGCTATCGGATTGGCCTTGCGAAACCTGAGAAATTATGGACCGTGACTCGTGCAACAATGTACTGTTTCTGTCGGGTCTGTTGCCATGAGTTCTTGCTCGTGATGTCCCGTTTATTGATGTCCTAGACCGACCCGGTACAACGCTGTTCTCCCGGTTCGAAGATCCGTTTTTGGGTCCTCTTGAATCGGATATAGAAACGCCATAACCGGAGCTCGTAATCCTTCTTTCCGAGGATGATCCGTTCGTCTTTTTTCCTCTGGTAGTTGAACTACTTTGTGCTTCAGAATTCCTCTTTTTTGCTGTATCCTTCCGTTTACTAAGATTTGAATCTGATGAAGAACAACCAGATAAAATGACATGACATCAGATATTGAATTACATCTGAAATTTCTCAAGCTATGCCTACCTGCACCGCCACGTGATGTCGGGCAAGAACTTTTCGACCCCGTCAACACAGAAGAACTAGCCGGAGTGTCCTTATTACTACGCATCCCAGATCTTTGATTATTGAAGTCCCGTCGTCCTTTTGGTGCAACGCTCGAGCTACCTGGTTCCATTATCGTGTCAACAACAGAGTCAGAACTTTTACGACCAACACGAAGCTCTGTTCGTATCCGTTCATTTGACGACGGGACAACATGTGACGTCTCTGGCTCGTCCTGAATGCTACTAGTTTCTGAAGAGTCTGTTTCTAATTGGGTGGATAGCTTCCTCTGAGTTTCAGCTACTGACTTCTTCGAACCTCGAACAGCATAGTACGTCCTAGACGAACTTCCAGCTATCTCTTTCCCACTCGAAGACGTTCGAAACGACTGCAATGGAGACTTCAGTTTCTCCGAATAGCTACTCCGAGCGCCCTTCGGGGAGTTTAGCCTGCCACTGCAACCAATTCGGCTACAATATTTACCGTCTTGATCTCGGTTATTTGCAGTATCTCTCAACACTGCACTGCTTCCCCTTCTGGATGTGTATCCATTAGCAACTCTTTTACTAGTGTATTCATCCATCTACGATAAATTTTCGATACTTCGACTCTGCAACGAAATCAAGATATAAAGATCAACGTTCTCCAAAAATCCAACTCCAAGTTCACGATTAATCTAAAATACATACATACAAACCAGCTAACCGAACGTTAACACCGAATCACGAAACGTTCAATTGAAACTATACCCACAAGACTATAAAGCTTCAGTACTGGATCAAAATAAGATTTAATCATTTTGACAGTCCATCTATGAACTAACAAGCATTAAACTCGAAACAAAATAAGCACACCAATACTGCCTTAACTCAGTATGAATCGAAACTCGACGCGAAACTGAAGCTACAGCTAACTAGTTTCGGTAATAGTCGAACGTTAACACCCGAATCACGAAACATTTAATTGAAACTATACCCACAAGACTATAAAGCTTCAGTACTTGATCAAACTAAGATTTAATCATTTTGACAGTCTATCTATGAACTAACAAGCATTAAACTCGAAAGCTGAATTCCTTATGCCTCTAACCTCGACACGAAACTGAAGCTACAGCTAACTAGTTTCAGTAACAGTCGAAGAACACGATGAACGTGCTCTAACAGGTCTCCTTCATCACCTAACACTCAAACACAAAGACATTGTTCCACAATGATTATATCCTCATGAACAGCAGTCTATAGAACTAATTTAAATAAGAATTTGATCAATTTAATCCAAATAATGGAACAAATCAAGGATAATTTGATTAAAAGTCAAAATAAAAAGAGAAAGGAATCTATATGTCAGGTGATCAAAATCCATCCCCACAAAAAAGTGATTTAAGGGCTGTTCTTCATTGTTCTTCACAAAAAGCCAACTCCATATTATAAAAACAATATAGCTCCGTGATTTAAGGGCTTAAAAAGAACGCTCAATCATCAAAAGAAAGCCCCATGAATAGCTTAAACTTGAGTTTACAACAACACCCCACAGAAAATTTCACAAAATCATGATCAAGCAAACGAAAACAGAGAATCAAATTCATGTCAGAACCTGAAAAGGGGTCAAACAAGAACACCCAAATAATACCAAAAACACCATAAATTGTTCAAAAAACAGAACCAAACTCAAGATGGGTATCATCTAAAATCCAATCCTAGATATCAATCGAAGCAAGAACCAAAACCCAGGATTAAAAAAACGGCGAAGAAGGGGAAAAAACATATGAAATCATCTATACCTCGATTCTGAAGGTTAGAGCAATGAATCAAAGAGAGATGAAGTAGAGAAGGTGAAGAACTGTAATTGACAAAGCGAGAAACAGAGAGGGAGATGAAAAGGGGATGAGGAGAAAGGTGCAAAAACGTGTATGGAATGATCCGAGGACGAAAGGGGTGTGGATTTGCAATCCCAATATCAACTATGATTCATTGGAAGAAAAAGGGAAACGGAAAAAGAGGAGAGAGAGAGAGAAACAAAACGGGGGCGTTCCGAAAACCTCTATAGTGGTGCCGCCCAAATAGCAATAAATCAAAAAAAAAAAAAAAAAAAAAACAGAGAAAAATGAAGAGTAGAGAGAGAAACGGAGGGGAGAGAGAGAGAGGAAATCTGGGCCGTTGGATCAAGAGTCAAGGATCAATGGGTGAGAGGCTCCATTTTTGTGGACTAGAAGGAACAGAGAAGCTCTGCCCCACGGCCCCCACCTCACCAGCTGACCGGCCTACCCTTTTTCTTTTTATTTATTTATTTATTTATTTTAATTATTTTTTCCTTTTTCGGTTGCCTTTTTTTTGCCTCTCATCTCTAATCCTCTTATTTATTTTATTCTTTAGGATTTACCCTCTCCTCCCCTTTCCTTTTTAGGGTTTTTTTTTTTAACAAAATTATGGTAACTTTTTTACCCACATAGTTTAATTGGTAAAACTTTAATAGCAATCAAAATAGTAAAAAGTTTAAATTGTTACTCTAAAAGTCAACACGAGCATAATTCAATTAATTAAGATATGTTCCCCCACCGTTAAAAGATTAAAAATTTGAATCTCTTTGAGCTGAAATCTTATATTCTAATCTTACTTCTTGAGATTTAAACTGGATCGATGTTAAATTTTGACTAAATTAATAAAAATATCCTTAATTTTTGTATTTTGTCTCAAAAACACCTTTAAACTTTTTAAAACTTTAATAATACCCTTAACCTTTGAAAAATAAAATCGTTGAACTTTTAAAAAAAAATTCCAAAAATGCCCCTATTGTTAACTTACGATGAAAACAAATAATATTTTGTTTTAAAAATATTCTTGAATTTTTTAAAACATATTTAAAAATTTTATTAATATCATAAAGAAGGATATTAATAATTGAATTATTTTTAAACAAAATATTAACGGTTTCATCTAAAATTAAGGGTAAAGATAAAAAAAATTTTAAGATATTATCGAAACTTTTGAAAATTTAAGGATTTTTTTTTTAAGAAATATTTTCATTAATTTAATTTTTTTTTGAGTGATTTAATCTTTGATTGATTGAAAAAAGTTTGACCTATTGGAAAAGAATAATTGACTTTGAAATTAGCACAATGAAAAATCTTCTTTTTTTTTTTGCCTTATAAGGAAAATAAAAAATAAACTTAAATAAATTGCTTTGTAAGCACTATAAAATATATGCACATGGTAACATATATATATATATATTATACATTTAATAATTTACCTAAGTTCATACTTAGGAAACGTGATTTGATTTAGGGATGAAAAGACAAAAATGTCCTTGTTATATTATTTTATTTTCTTCCTACCCTTATCTACAATTTTTATCCCAACCAAGATGTGGGTTTGAGAGAGTGAAAGGTATTGATGTTATATATATCGAATTAATTCGAACAATTCTTTAATAAAATAACAATAAAAATTATTTTGAATGGTAGGCATCTGATGAATGTTCTAGACTTTCATTAAAGACTGATTGTAGATTGAATTAGGTCTGTCCTTACCATTCTTCCAATCAGTATCGAGGTAAGGACATGACACAATGACCATTTTGGAACTCTTTAGTCTTTATCCGTATTTAAATTTATTCGAAATATATATTTTTTTTTATGAAAAGGAAATTGTGTTTAAAAGTGTAAAATTAAATACTAAATTTATTTTGAATGATTAAAAATAAGGTTGTACACGAGTTGGGTTAGGTCGAAAAATCTTTTGAACCAATTCAAAATTTTGAGCTGGTTGGATTGGTGCCCGAACAACCCCAATATAGTTCACAACCTACCCAACTCAACCCAACTCAACCCTCTATTTTTTGGTTTGGTTGTCCGATTGTTCTTTTTTAAAAATTATTTTTAAAAGAATCTTAATTATCATGGTACATGTTGTATTAATAACTAAAATCTCATAAAATTTAAATATCAAATATTTATAAATCACAACAAATTTGAAAAAAATGTCGGGTTGGATTGAACTGAGTTGGATTGTAACCCTGTTTTCGAGTTGATCAGGTCAAAAAAATGTTAACCCAAGAACCGAACCAAAATTTCAAATTTTTTTTTTAAAAAAAAAATTCAACCCAACTCTATTCGAATTTTTTTTAACTAAACCTAACATTTATGGTTTAGATTACGTAGTCTAGATTAATGGAATTATCTGATCATATAAACATTTCCTATTAAATAAAAACATTTTCAGAATAATTTTAAATATGTTAAAAATGATTTAATTAATTTAAAAAAAATATCTCATTATTAATTTTTTTTTTCTCTTCTTTTAGTATATTGTTAAAGCTTTTTATAGTACACATTTATATTTTTTTTAATATAGAAGTTTTTATTCCAAAAAAGAAAAATAATTTTAAAAAATAAAAAAAAAACTATAAATAGAAGGTGTATAAAATAAACTACAAGCCTTCAAATGTTGGGCGGAAGTTAATGCATATTTGTCAAAATTTGGTGTAATTTCACATGCCCAAAGCGTGTACCATAATTTACCAACCACGTGCTTTCATATATATATATATATATATATATATAATTAAATATATATAATTAAATATATATATATATATATATATATAATTAATTAATTAAATATATATATTTTAGGAAGAGAGCCCATTTATTGAGTCCATAATTAAATTTTCAAAAATGAAAAATTATATATAATAAATTAGTAAGCAAATGTTTGTTGTTCCTCATGAAAATTTATAGTTTTGCCCTTCATTTCAATGAACAGATATTCCATTTCATATTAAGTAGAGGGGTATATTAGGAATCCAAAAATACTTTAATTTTTAAAATTTATTTACTAATTTATAATATCGTCCCGTTGATGTTAAATGTAGTAGTTACACTTAAAGCAACAATTACACGTTTAGGTTTAAAGTGAACGATATTATATTGTTGCAAAAATGGAAAGTGACTCGTTATTCTCGACCCCTTATTTTAGTAAAATTATTTTTTAAAAAACTAGATAATATCATTCTATTGAAGAAATATAAAGTGACTCATCCTTCTCGATGCCCCGAATAGGTTGTTTGGTTGAAGATTTTGTTTAAGATACCTCGACATAGTATATTTGAAAATATAACGTCTAAAAGTAAAAAATAATTATGTCAGAATATTATCATAATCTCATATAAAGAAATAATATTTATATTTGGTTGTCCGATAATTAATTCTCGTTGGTTAATTTATTTTTAATAAGTTAAATTATCAAAATAATTTTAACCAACTAAAATTTAATTTCATTTTCATTCATTCTAATAAAATTATAAAAATTAGTACACATTATAATTTCAATAAATAAGTAATCACATTTATTTAATATTTTCTTAGAAATAAAGTAATTAAACATTTTAATAAATTAAATAATTAATTAATATTAGCCTTAATTTAATATCAATCAGTCAATTAATTAACTAATTAGATAAAATCTTCATTAACAAGAAAAGGTTGATATCTGAAAATAATTTATTTTGAGATAAAGGGTTGAAAAGTATGTCCCGAGCATGAATTTAGTTCGTCTAAGTCAATTTCCATCCAACAGAACGAGCCCGAAAGAGAAATTTTAAAAACCGGGAGAGAGAGGATGAAATGTATTAGGTAAAGGGCAAATGTGGGACATAGAATAAGGTAGGTGGCATCATTAATTAGTACATAATTACAAGAATGAGAAGAAAAAATTAGGCTGTAAAGTGGTAATGAATTATATATATATATATATATATTTATATATATATATATATATATATATATATTCAACTTTAAGCTGTCATCTTCCATTTTCCAATGGGTCCAATTAACACATACTTTATTTTTCATTTTTCTTCAATCAATGTTTTTAAATTAATATAAAGTTGACCCACTAATATATATATATATATATATATTCTCCTTTATTTCAACAATAAATAATTTATTAAATAATATTATTATGTCCTTACAAAATACTTTTAAAAAAATTGATAGTTCCGATCTATGTCATTACAATGAACCTTCTTTTTTTTGGTGGTTCGGTTATAATAACTTCAAAGTCAAACGTAGTTGACTTGAAATAATCCTATATTGGGTGATCTCGTTAACGTTTTACTAATAAACATTGACAAGAATGTGCTAAATTGACCGGTGTTGTTCGGTGGAACCGTCTTCACTCTTACAAATAGTTAAAGATAAGTAACTTATAAAGATTAATTAATTTTTGAATATTTAATTCACTTATTAAATATTAATTAGTTAATTTAATAATTTTGTATTTGAAATCAAAATTGTAATTATTTAGTTTTTAGGGTTTAAATTATTCAAAATTCAAATTTTGTTTATAATAAAAAAGAAAATATTTATTTATTTATTTTGCTAACTTAATTTTATTAAATATTTTGAAATATGGATTTAAAATTTTGGAGTGTAAAAAATAATAAATAAACGACTAAATAAAATAAAATTATAATTTTATAGTAAGAAAAAAAAAATTTCTCTTGCAATATAATTGTATTTAAATATATATATTTTAAATCACAATAAATTAGATATGACTTTTTTTAATAAAAGAAATCAAATTGGGGGAGGGGGCCACGTCTTAGCATATTTGATGCTGACGTGGAAATTAATTAAATGTCTATTTCTATCAGACAAGATAAGTTATTAATTAATTAATTAATTAATTAATCTTAATTTTTTTAATGAAAATTTCAAGATGGAACATGCCTTCCTCAAATTAGCAAAACAAATAATAAATAAAGTTTTTTTTTAAAATAAAAATATAAAAATCAAATTATATATATATAAATAAATGGGAATGTCGTAGTCATGACCTTATGCTATTAAAATACTATGTATAATTAATTATAGTTTACATTTTATAAATAATTATTGAAGTGTTAATTAGAAATTAAAAATTTTAAAATAATATATTTCATAAATAATTTTATTTGACTTTTAGACCTAATTGTGGTTATTATAAATAAATATAAATAATTCTTAATCTACCCGATATTTAATAATATAAGATATCTTATTTAGCATTCTATCGAATGATGCTAACGAAGCCAAGAGGTTCGTCCCTACCCACCATGAGTTCGCCCAGGCATACGACCCCAACACATATATTAGTTTGGGAGAGAGACTAATCCCACTATTACGATATACAATTTATATGTACTTAGCTCGTAGCCTTAGTATTAGAGCACACAAAACCACACCAATGTGGGACCTAATCTCGTAGCTCTGCTTGTACACGTTTGACAAGAACAAGGAAGTTGATGCGTACTTGTTAGGCTAGATTTACCCAAATACTCGTAAACATGAGAACAATTTATCTGATTAAATCATTATAGTCGAGTATCTTCATGTAAGAGCTCAAGCCCACCGCTAGTAGATATTGTCTGTTTTAGCCCGTTATGTATCGTCATCAGCATCACAGTTTTAAAACACGTATACTAGAGAGAGGTTTCCATACCTTTATAAGGAGTGTTTCATTCCCCTCTCTAACCGATGTAGAATCTCACAATCCACCCCCTTAGAGGCTTAGCGTCCTCGCTAGCATACCACCCAATGTTTGACTCTAACACCATTTGTAACAACCCAAGTCTACCACTAACAGATATTGTCTGCTTTGGCCGTTACGTATAGTCGTCAGTCTCACAATTTTAAAACATGTCTACTAAGGAGAAAAATGTTTCCACACCTTTATAAGAAATGCTTCGTTCCCCTCTCCAACCGATGTGAGATCTCACACTTGGTCCTAGAGAAACGCTAACCAAGCAGGTAATTCTAAACTCGTTTTAATTTGAAACATAGTTGAACTCCAAACATAGTCATATCATTAAGAACGAGTCGGTTGGATTGGGTACTTTTCGAAATTATGGTAAACTATGAGGAAGTTTTGTTATTATTAAGGTTTTGGAGGTTAAACACAAGAATTTAAGACATGGTTGGAATGTTTTTCCAAAAAATGAGGAGAAAACAAAGTAAGAAGAAGAGGACGAGGTCACAAATCTTTGTTGTGTTTGAAAAAGTCAACCATTGTTAATGGTAGACTTTAATGGGGATGTTTTCTTCCCCAAATAAAAAAAACAAAAATAAATAAATAAATAATTGAGGGAAATTGGCCTTCATTGAATCCTCTCCATCAAACAAAAACTAAGAAGAAACAAGAAGAAAACACCAACAAAAACTTTCACAAATTGTTTTCTTGCTCTCTCGTCGAAGTCGGGATCGAACCTTCAAATTCAAGAACGGTAATAGATATCTTATCTGTTGGGTTATGTTCGAGTTCGTTTTCTATATGTTTCCTTTGCATTTGAGGTTTCTCGTAGATTTTCGTTTTTTTTCGTATGATAAGATATCTGTAGTTATCGAGAAACTTGGATTTATGTAGTAAATGTTATTGAAGCTCTCGGGTAATTTTTGTTTGGATGGTTTGAGTTTATGATCGGTAAAAGCTATCATGTTCGAATATCCGTTCAATATAGGTAATGATTGAATGCTCAAAGGAAAGGAGCTGAATGGCAACAAATAAAGCAAAGGAAAGCAGCGGTTTGGGGAAGGAGAGGAAGATCACAGCTCCAAGTTCTCTCACTATTCCTAATACTTCAACCAAGAGAACACCAAAATCATCTCCCAGAGGACACTCAACTGATCACAAATTATCGTTTTCGTCTTCTTTTTCGTCTTCCTCCGCCACTCATCTTTCGACGCTCGCCGAGAAACATGTTCCGAACTATCTCAAGTCCACGGCCAGCTCCCGCCATGAACATAGCAGCTTCAAATCAACCAAGAAGTCTGCAGTGCCTGCTCCGATACCTGAGAGCAAGGCGGGTTTGAATAGAAGAAGATCTTTCGACAAACCGCCTTCGACTGCACCGCGTTTGGATAAGCCATTTCGATCGCCTGGACCGAGGAATAGGGTGAGTAACTTTCCAATCCGATCGTCCTCTTTTGGGGCGAAATCCACCACCGCGGCTATCAGTTGTGCAAAGGTTGGTTTGTTGGAGAGATCAGGTTCCAGAAACACCAAAGGGGGAGGAGGGAAGCTACAGACTCAACAAGTTCAGAGTTTGAGAAGTAGTAGTAATGTAAAGAAAAGCTTGAAGAGAGAATCTAGCAATGCTGCTTCAGCGGAAATGGTTCACAAGACTAAGAATTCTGTCGAACATGTTGATCCGAGTCCTTCATTCGTTCTCGGCATGAATGACGAGGAGTTGAAGAAGATCGAGTGCGAACTCGACCCTTATCTTCCGGATCCAATGCCCGAATTCAGCAAAGAACTTAGAACTGATCACCTGGAAAAGAAAGCAATTTTGGATAAAGAAGAAACTCCACAGGCAGCTGCCGCCAAATCATTAGAACAAAATGAAGGGGAAACAGAGAAAGGAGCCAGAAAAGTGGAGAACCCAGAGAGAATTGGAGTAGAAGAGGAAGTTGTTGCTGAGGAAGAGAAGACCGAGATGGATCCCGATCACGATACCGATCCCGATCAAGAAGGTGGGGAAGGAGGCATTGTTTTAGATAAGGAGGGTGGAGCGGGAGGGGCGAAACCACGACAAGGAGGAGCGGGGAGAGCTTCGGCAGTGTACAATGATGTGATAGAGGAGACAGCAAGTAAGCTGTTGGAGAAGAGGAAGAACAAGGTAAAAGCTTTGGCTGGGGCATTTCAGACAGTCATTGACTATGAATCTTCATCCAAATGATTCATATATTTCTCCATTCATTAATTTACCCTTTTCACAACGGATTGATCGTTTCTGAGTTTCATACCTTACTTTTTTTTTTCCTTTTTTTTTTTTGTCTATTCAAATTGTTGTATTTAATTACATTATT